ATCATATAAAATCGAAAACTGCTTCAAATGAGTTGAATTTTGGATATGTTGTCGTTCTCTGGTCTTTCCTGCTTGTGTCAAAATTTCATGTAAAAACTCGAAGGTTTACCTGCGAAACTTGTATTTCCACTCTACGGCTGTATTTTGCCAAAGATTATCCCCCCCAGGTTAAAATGATTTCTAAGGGTTGATTTTTGGTATATATGTGTATTTCTTAGTGTATTTTTATGTGGTAAAAATTCATTAAATTTGGTTGAGTGAATTTTGAAAAGGTTCGGATGTTATATCAAACCAGTCTGCTGTCTAGGGGAGGCCAGGGACACGTGCCCGTGCCGGTCCGCGCCAGGCCCAGCAGCCCCGGTAGCGCTCCGGTTTGACTATTTCCCGACTTGTTTGACTTCCTAGTGACCTAACGCATTGTTCATCATGCTATATGTGCTGTATATATGATGTATAATTGGTTGTCTGAGTCTAGTAGTCTACTCCAAAGGTTCCAAACTACGCTAAAGGACCCACGAATCACTTAGTCGATAGTGTTCGACTAAGTGAATGAGTGTATATGACTTTAAGTGTTGGAATAGTTGTTACTAGGACTATTCTTGATGAATGCAGGTGTTTGACGAGCCGTGCTATCATCCTACCAGCTCTTGTGTACTATTTGCTTCATCGGTAACCAGGTGGGTTTTATTTGAAATTGCTATGCAGTAAATTGTTGCCTTCCGTGTGGTATGATCAATGTATGCATGTGAACCATGTAGCCTTCGATGTGAGTTGTACTGGATGTCGAACGGTTATCCCCATAGCTATAGAACGTACTCGTTGGATAATCTCCTTTTCGGAGCCGTAAGACCAGGGCATGGGCCTTTGGCTAGTGATCCACGTTGTAAGACCAAGGCGAGGCCTTGGCCGGTGGGGTGGTTTACTCCTACTGGCTGGGCATTGTTGTAAGACCCGAGGGGCATTGATATGTATACCGACAGTAGTCTATGCGTAGGTGTGCACATGAGACTTGATTTTATGATTTTATGATGGGAGATTGGGATAGATAAATGATTCGTATACATGTTGCGACCATACCTGTCTTATTATTGTTGTTTATTGCATAGTGGTGAGCACCACAGATTCCAACTGTGCTCAACCCCACTTTTTCTTCACAGACGCATGTTAGCAGGTTGCGGGCACGGCAGAGTGGAGCGAGTGGTGGTCGGTCTGTATGACCAGATCATTGGCTGTTATGCTTCCGTTATTTGAACAATTTTATGAACTTGGGATATTATGATCTTATGAACCAAGAGATTTTATGATGATTGCTATTAATGTTGGGGAGATGCCCCATAGACGCTTTGATGATTTTATGAAACCCGGTTCGGGTCAATAATGACTAGTGATGAAACCTGATTCGGGTGTTGATTTTATGATTGATATGATTCATATCACTATTGAAGTTGATTTTAACTGAGTAACGCCATAAGTGTTTTGAAATGAGTTTCAAAAATTAAATTGATTTTTTTGAAAAGCCGCGGATTTTTGTTAAATCAAAGTGGGGCGTTACATTGAGTGCCTAGGCTCGGTTGCGGCTGGGTGTGGTCGCACGCACTCGACTACTGGCTATAGCCACATGGGCGCTCGGGTTCAGTACTAGCACTATTGGCACTGATAAGGGCGTTACCGGGTGCTTCTGGCATTGTCGGGTGCCTTCGGGTGTTGCTGGACACAATGGCATGGGCGTTGACACGAGTGAGTGCTGCCAGGCACTACCGGTGGCCTTCTTGTGATTAGGGCTCGGAGAAGGCTTGTCGTGTTTTGGTCGGATTTTTGCGAAGTTTGTATGAAATTTTATATGTGTTGGATGTCCTCTGGTCCTTCTTCAGACATGGGGTTATAATGATGAAGATAGCTCCATCAAATGGCAATAGAATATTCATTTTGAACTTTATCTCCCCATCCCATCTCTTTCTCCTTGGTTTTGGTGCCAAGGCATGATAAGGTAAGGTTTGTTTGAACTTTTCCTGAGGATAGCTCGGGTCAAAGTCTCATTTGACCGAAAAATTGGGCTGAAATTCCATTCGGCCCTAGCTGGGCACTGGGCTACACTGGCAGGCCTAGCGCTGGGCTGCGTTGTGGAACGCGCGCACGTGTGCGGGCTACACCTTGGACCGCGCGTTGAAATAGGGTGCATCGGGTGATGGGCCATTGGTTGAGGCCTGCTAACCAACTTAAGATATTGGACCCATGATTCATAATATGTTGGGGTCGAGTGAGGTGCAAGCGCGACGTGGGCTGCTCGCGGCTGCTGGGCCGTATGAGTGGCTAGCGCGCTTGGGCTGCGCACGGCTGCTGGGCCGCATGGAACTTCTCGGGCCAATCGTGTAGGATTTTGCTTGCGAAATGGTTTGGGCTAAGTGGGGTTGCTAGTGTACTAGGACCGTGAGTGAACGTTGGGCCGCATGGGGTTTCTCCTAGGGCTGCACTGGTTGTGCTAGCGAACTTGGGCTGAGTTCGACTTGCTCGGGTCGAGGCTCAATTTTTCTATAATTTCTCGAATAACTTGGACTCGATCTTCATTTTGATTCCTACTAACTATTCTCGGCTTATGAAAGAAAAATGAATCGAGACTTGAACTAAATATATGTTCGGCTTCGATATAGAATCTCATCCAAATATTTATCGTTTTAAACTTGAACTGGGAACGTCTGAATTGAATAACTTCCACATGGAAGCTAAATTGAGCATTTATTAATAAGGATTAGCTTACTCTCGGAAGCTAAAACTGCTTTGCTTATTAATAAGATACTGGGGTATTACACCCAAGAATGCGAAAATGGGGCTGTGCGAGTGTGTGAGGGCGCCCGACAGCTCGCGGTCGAGGGACACCCTGGTGCAGTGCTCGCAGCGACTCGTGCACGAGATTCTCACGGGTCTCACGTGACCGGTGGATGCGCCCAGGCGCAGGGAGGAGGCGTTGCAGGTCGTCGCGCTCGGCGTGACTGAGACAGGCCAGCGTGCAGCTTTCCAGTGCGAGCCAGTACAGGATGCAACCTCCCGTCGCGTGCGTGTTGCAGAAGTGACGACTCGACTGCGACGCCAGCCTTACGCGCAGGAGCCGAGCCGTGTGCGGGAGTGACCCGGGGACTCAGACCACGACTCGTGCAAACCAGGCCGCGATGCGTAGCAACCAGTCGAAAAAATATTCCGGCTAGTTTCACGGTAGCGACGGGCTGACAATGGTGGCTCCTCGACGATGGCAATGTGAAGACTTGATGGACAAGGCGATAATCTTGGACAAGGATTATGCTGCAGTAGCTGTTCTATGTGAATTAGAAAAATCAGTATATTTAAATCTAAATTTTTCCTTATTCACTGTATTCTACTAGATGGTCATGTATTTATTATATCCATATTTTGCATGCTAGTTAATTACTTTTATGCATGTGATTAATTAGAAAATACAAAATTAAAATTCTTCATTTAATTACTAGGTTGAGAGGGAATTGTAAAATTAATAGTAAAATTTTAAAATATTCCTAAGGCCTTCATTACCGATTTTTGGTGATGCAGTTAACTTCTTGAGTTACAAGGAGCAACTTCTAAAAATGAAGATGATTGAAGATGAAATTTGTGTCTCTGTGGGGATGGGTTAGAGGATCTAGATCATAAGTTATTTTACTGTGCTATGGTGAGGCTGGTTTCAAAACTGAGTGGAGTTCATTAGAGTACACTTGAAAATGAGATCTCCTCTTTTAGATATTGGTGGGGTGAAAACTGTGGTTCTGGTTGGTTAGAAAGCCTTAAAGTTGGGATTAGTTAGTCAACTTATATCCTTTGGTGGATTTGAAAAACTAGAAATGCTTGGTCATTTAAAAGGGAGAGTATGAGTGAGAAGGAGTTGGTTGAGGGGGCTAGGACTGAGGTGAATGATAGGGTAAGTCAAAGAGATTTTTATTGGCTATATAATAATAGCAGAAACATTAATCACACAAACCCGAAGGTTAGTTGTGAAGGGAATCATGTTGGTCAGGAGAATGGAGAATGTTTTTTCAAGAGGGTAGGTCAGTGATTTTTCACTGCCAGTGTTCAATACTCTTCCATGGACCAGCTGGTTGTGTCTTCTATAGCAGAAAACGAGGAGAAACATTTCAAACCCTGAAGGAGGCCATCTGGTTTGCAGGAAGTGAAGATGGAAAATGGCTTGTGGCTATCAGACGGGCTCTTCAGAAGGCTATCTAGGCTGGATGGCTCAACATCTGTTCAGTTTGGATAACAAAGCCTTTGGATGAACAACAAATTGTTGTTTGATCCTTGTTGTAATATTGTTGCAGATGGTGTATATTTCTTGTTGGACTCTGTTTCTTTTTCTGTGTTTGTTGTTTCTTTTTAGGGTAAATAATTTTTTCCAACATGTACTATACGTGCTTTTGGGATTTTCAACCTAATGTATTTTTTTTTTGTAAAATGCAATCTGAACTACATATACAGTCACTATTTGTACGCTCGACCACATCTTGACTGTACACGTGTCCTTTTTGCGGATGATCGGACGGTCAAAAAGTAGTCGAACGTGCAAATAATTGTATACATTATGTTGAAAATCTCAAAAGCACGTACAGTACAAGTTGAAAAAAATTATTTACCCTTCTTTTTATGTGTTTGTGGTTGGTGTTAGTAGTGTGTATAGTACAAGTTGAAAAAAAATATTTACCCTTCTTTTCTTTTTATGTGTTTGTGGTTGGTGTTAGTAGTGTTGGTAGTTCCATTTGAGCTTGTTTGCTTGTTGAGTGCTAAAGAAAATACTTGTGTTATTCCCATGTGGATTTGTAACAGCCAGTGGATTTGTAACAGCCAGTTGGTTGTTCGACTATACTTCTTTTTTAGGTTTTATAATTGGTTAGTTGTGGTTCAAAATAAATAAAAAAATAAAAATAGAAAACTCCATATTTCAGTTAGGAAATTTCAAACATACTTTTTGCATTCCTATTTCATCAGCTACTCATTAATCAGCGTGTATCCAAAAAACAAATGATATTTTGCATCATGATACCTTGGTCCCAACAAACTCAAGTACAATCATCAGGTGCCAATAGGAACATCACACATCATAAAATAAAAGTACTTTAAACAGTTGTGTCAAAATTCAAGCATCAGTTCATAAAAACTTCAAACATATATCTGTACCTCATAATAGCTACATGATTTCCTAAAAACCTTGAGACACCCATATAAGAAGCACCCAGAACAAAAGTAAGAGTTGATGTTGACAAGAAACAATACATTATAGCTGCCTAAGACAAACACACATCCTTCACAGGGTTAATTGCAGTACAGCTGAGGATGTCAGTTTCCAATTCCAATCTATCAAATTCACGATAGTTTTTTTTTTCTCAGGCGAGGCACTTCACCATGTAAGGGCCTTCAAGCTCGTACCCTAATTTTCTATAGTAATGCCTTGTCCCAACACCTGAAATCACGGCTATCTTTGTCGACCTATGCTCCCTAACTGCAATCCTCTCTGCCTCCTCCATTAGAAGTGTGCCATAACCTTGGTGTTGCAGCTTATCAGCCTCTCGTCCATGAACTGGAACTGCTGTCCCGTAAACATGCAATTCACGAACAATAGAACACTTCCCCACGAGTTCAGGGCACGTGACATTTCTTCCACATTTACGCAAACGCAATAGCCCAACGAGTATGTCCTGGAATCAGAACAGAGCATTTATTAAGTTTTATCTTATATCGTTATTATAAAATTGATTCCGCTTAGATAGCGTAATCAATGATTGTGAAGATCAGACAAATTAAATAGTGAACGGGCACTTTAGGAGAGGTCTAAAGAGGCTGGAGATGGAGAAGAGAGGTGAATTGTTGGGAGTAAAAAAAAAAAAAANCCTAAAAAAAAAAAAAATGGGAGTAATAAATGCTGTTGTGACCCGGTGAGTCACATATCTGTATGTGAGTTGTGTGCTGCCTTGTTCCCTACAGAAAATTTGTGGGTGAGAGGAGTCATGCTATTCTAATGATTACACGATATAGCGGCACAACATTTGAGGATGTTGCAGACATTATAAGTAAATTGCCAGACACTTGGTAATATAAGAAACGTGCAAAAAAACTAAATGGTAAGTAGTTTATACACGGTGGCACGACTTATGTGAGATACAGAGGGAGCATGATTTCGTTACATTGGCTGAGCAATATTCATGACTAGACAACCCCCCACATACCAGCTTCAATAACCAAAGATAAGCTCATAAAAAATTACTTTGGCTTTGTCCCAGGAAGTTAAATGAGGTTCCTCCAAATAAGTATGCTTTTGCTCAATTAATTAATTTGTAGATTTCTTCCCGTGCAGAGCAGGTGGGTTTGGAGAGAGAAAAAAAAAAGGAAAGAAAAAAGAAAAAAAAAAGCATAAGTTGACACACCTGGCGTGTGTCTTCATATGAAAGAAACGTTTCCCAGCCCTCATTAGCAGTATAATCACGACGAACAAGCTGTACTTCTTCTGGCTTTATCTTGTGGTGAATGTCCTGATTATTGTTCAGTAAAATATCAATTTGCTGCATCGAATTAATAAAAGCAACCTAATGCAATGAAATCCTCAATCACTTGCCTGAATACCAGCTTCACGTGTTCGCACATCTCTACATTTCAAACCCAAATCATCCATCCTTGCTAAAGCTAGTTCTCGAAGATTCCCCTTCTCGACCCCAGAAGTAACTAGAGGCATAGGAATATCTCGCTGAACTCGGTACACACGAGTCCAAGGAGGAACCATTGCTAGAATTCTAGCTACAATGTCTACAAGCTGTTCAGGTGGATAATTTCTATACCTGTGCAAGATTACAACAGAAACAAATTAGCATTTTGCACAATAAAAATTATCCTCGAAGCCACACTGCCCAAAAATGAAATACAATGATACTAAAAAGTGGATCTGAGACGACCTTCCAGTTTTCCAAAGTTCGTATAGCCCAGTTCCACGAATGACGAGGGTAGGATAAATTTTAAGCCCATCAGCTCTAAAGCGAGGGCTCTCAAAGAACTCTTTGAAACTTTCCAAGTCTCTTTCAACCCCAACATTTGGAAGATCAGGCATCATATGAGCAACAACCTTTTGTAGTATAATACGTGAATAGCATCAGGAAAGACAATCAACAAGACTTGCAATACTTCTCTTTTCCATTCAATATTCTCTTGTTATTTCACGTTTCTATATTAACTAGGTACAAGATAATAGTTCTCTTTTCCACACACAAAAAGGAGCAACTATATTACACCCTTATCCCTGTCGGTGGTAGAAGTAGTGTTTCGCCATTTTGTATGTTCTTAATAACCCTACACTTGTCAAAACTTATATGTGTGAAGCCTGTTGTAGTGCCCATGGTATCATTCGGGGAAAAAAGGAAAGAAATGTGTCCTTAGAAATGCTTTTAAAACTTAGGTTGAAACGAAGCTGATTTTGAAATCTTTCCTGCGTAATTGCATCTCATTAGTATTTAGTTCAAAAAGTTTAACCATTTGCCTATACCAAAACAAATGTTTTGTTATTGAGAGTTCAAAGTACACATGCTTAAGTAGTGTCCCAACTGAAGTGAAAATCCATATAAGGGTTCTAAGTTCCGTTCCAGTAAATGATTCATTAGGCTCTCACGTTACCTCACTCATCAATATGAAGTAAACAAGCAGGTTCATTCTATATGGACAGACACAACCTGAAGCCGATACACTAAACAAATATTACTTCATATGTTTTCTAAAATATTTCGAAATATGCTTTATCCTAATGATACAAGCAGAATGAAACGATTCGGCGAATGGACAGTTAACATCTATTAAGTATTTTAAGTGAGAACACATCCAAGTAAAGCTTGGTGGAATACTTCAATTTTGACATGATATTGACACAATATTGGGGATAACTCAAATAGTAAGAATTGTAAAACTTGAATCTACAGAATACATAATAGAAAAATAGACATCCAAAGACCCTTTGATGCAAGTATCACATTTGGTGCTTTGAATCCTATGTGTCAATGTCTGTTGCCTTAGAATCATATGCGTCAATAAGTAGTCCAAGTAGGCTAGGATATGTTACAACGTTTAAAACAATAAAACAATTTAGGATATTCATGTTGCTTAGAAACTTCTAACATGAAAAACAGTTCTCATTGGATAAATTATCCAAAATGCAAAAATTGAAATTAAGTGTGAAATTGTAAGTCACCAAAGTATACATATTGTGTTATTGCCAAGGGCGGAGGCACACATCGGTGTACCCGGGCTCTAGCCCAGATGAGCATCCATATAATGCCATCTATTTTATTTAGGGGGTGATTGTTTATCAATCCTATTAAAAGAAAATCAATCAAACCTCAAAGTTAACTCAACTTTAACCCAACCCCACTATCTCCATTATTATCAATATAATTAAATAATATCAACCAATCATTCAAACAATCATTCTTACACATCACATCAACTTTAATTCACTATCCATCAACTCACATAATTTTAACTAACTATCACTTCCAATCATTTTTCTCCTACTTTTACATCATAACAACTTTAATTATTTTATTTTAAATATTATTTTAATATATCCACTAACAACTAACTATACCATATTTTTTCAAAGTTAACTATGGTTAAAGAAAACCAATTAAAAGCTGGTTGAATTCATAAACAATCACCCTAGTTTTAGCTTGTTTGTATTTTAGCTCATCGTTCAAATTTAAAGTGAGTCCATTAAATTATTTTAGTCTAAACCGTCAATATTTATTAAGAAATTAAAGATTTATGTCAATCCAACCAATTAACCACGTATTAGCAAACGAAAGTCTCGACCAACTTCTCAAATTGCAGTTATTTATCTCTCCAAGAAATTCAAACTGTTAACCGAAGGTTGATAATTTATGGTTAAACAAATTGTGCTTTTGCAACATGTTGTGTTTATTGAGAAAGAAATAAATTATTGAACAAATTTTGCCACATTTTGTTTGTTGATAGTTGAAGTGGGAAATTAATTTGTATGTTACAAGTTCTCTTTTAGTTTTTTTTGTTTTTCTTTTTTTCATTGTTTACTTATCCATTTGGTCAAATTTGAGTGCATTATGCGAAAGATTACCATTTTCTTTATTTCGTGAGTGTATTGTATATGAAGTGAGTTTCTTCTTCTTCCTTTTTTTTTTTCCTTTTCTTAATTTCTGGTTGGTAGTTATATTTAGTTATAACTTACATGTTTGTACTCTTTTAAGATTTAATTAAGTGTTAAGGATATTTTTAAGGACATTCAGCTATATCTGATAATGAAAATAGGTTTGTTGTTAATGACCAGCTTGCTATTAGTAAAAAAAAAAAATGTTACAAATAATATTGTTCTATTTATTTCATGTTATAATTATAGCCAGGGTAGATTTTGAATTTTGGCCCACCCCTTGTTATAGCATAAGATGAAATAAAAATTTTATGTTTATTTTTAGAGAAACTTTTTATTCCAAGTACCGTGTAACATAAAGGTGTCATTTTAAACAACTTTAATAGTGGAGTTCAATAATTTTAAAATAATTTTTTTATGTTCACTTTTTAAGACTTTTCTATATATATTTCTTTGTAGGTCAACGCCTGTGTTTATATTAGTATAAATTTATATGACAACGAGACTAGTTAAAGTATAATGTTACAAGAAAATATTAACCTTAAAACCAGCATCCTTAGCCAAGCAAAAACAATCGGCCACAGCAGCTACAGTATGGCCTCTATTGGTGTCGCGGGCTACATCCTCATACGTGCTCTGCACTCCAATTTCCAGTCTTGTACAGCCGTATGAAAGCATCTGCCTTAAATGAGGTCCGAGGCAGTAGTCTGGCCGCCTAATATTTTTTTATACAAATAGTATACAGTCAGTGGTAGAAAAATAGATTGCCAAGTTTAATCAAATGCAAAAGGAGATAAGTTAGGAGCCACCAAAACGCAGGTCAAAGAATTTTCTTTAAAAAATAAAAATCTATTTCGGCACCATCAGTCTGTTCTACAGTATAATACGTCAGTTAAAATACATAGGGCCTTGTTTCGGGAACTTGAAAACCAGAGGATCAACAATTTACTTCAGCCAGAAATATGAAGATTACGTTGAGAACTTACAGGTTACTGCTAGATCTAAATAAAACCCACTTGAACACACAAAGATATAGAAATTCATGGTGCAGCTTACGTTTCAATAGTCATCCCAATACACTTTGTTGCACTGTGCTCAGAATAGGACACAGCTTCTTCAACATTTGCAGAAGTGTGCCCAGATAAAGCATCGTGAAGATTCCTAATAAAATAATCACGGTAGTCTGAAGGCAAAGACATAAAAGTACCACCCATCAAAATGAATTCAACCTGTATAAGCAACAACCCATAAGAAATCCGAAACAAGGTATATTGCTAAGGCTGGTTAAGACAGTGCAGAAATTCTAAGCTGGAGTAGTAAATTTCACACCTTATCAACACTGTGACCCAACCTCTTCAGCTGATCAATCCGGCTTCTTGCTTGGACATAAGGATTGTATCTAAAACAAAAATAAACTAAAAATCAGATTCTTGATTATTTACTTTTTTCTGTTTTAGGGCAACAAAATTTCAAGACTCTAAATCTTTTAGCTTTAGAGGTTCAGAGATTGAAGTAACAAGGAAATTCAAAAAAGGTGGGGCTTAAAAAATATCTACAGTATTTTCTAAGGTCATTACTTAAGCAATAACAAATCTCGTACTGAATCCACATCCATAAATAGGTTTCTTTCTCTTACTTAAAGAAATCATAAATCACAATGAGAAGTCAAACAAACGACAAGTCAAAGCTACATTAGAAATTCTGGCAGAAACAGGCATCAGTTAAATTTCAATAGCAGAATCATGCTATATATGCCCATACCCACACGGACTAGAAATTCTGCTGACAGAATCAAGCAATATATGTATTCATATGGACAGCAAAAGTATCACAGGATATATACAAATACAAAAATTAACAACAAAGATTTCTAAGAGCTAATAACCTCGTAGAGAAAGTCATGTACACAAGCATTTTATACGAAAGGGGACAAAGCAACAAGTCATGGCCCACGGAAGATGGACAGGTCATGTAAGGAAACATCACTAGAAAGCAAGTTCTGTACTTAATATTCTTCGAAAAATCAAATGACAAAACAATCAACCAGTTGAATAATATCAATATCCATTAGTAAGCAACAGCAGCTCAAGTCAAAATAATCAATAATATCAACAAAACAACATCGATTAGCAGTTTCCTATCAGTATCACCTCTCAGAAGACAAACGCCTAGTCAACAATGAGCCCATACCATGGAAACTAGTTTTTCAATATGATTGACATTGGAGGGCCTTATCTATTGATTTTTATTCCCAACTATCAATAGACAATGAAAGAAGCTCCGCAAGGGCACTGAAATTTTGTTCTCTTACCATCTAAATGCAAAAACATTTTTACTTGAGTATCAGGGAGAACTTCACTTTTGCTTCGCAAAACACAGTCCCAAAAGTTGATAAGCTCTGCGCGACCAATTGGATGTAAATCTAGAAGACTCATTATGAACATGCTGTTTGCTAAATTACCATAGCAAATTAAACTTACTATTCAGAAAAAATAAATAAATAAATAAATTAAAAACAAAAATCCATGACTCAAGTCCCACATTCAATGTCAATCATTCATTGAAGACTCTTAAACCACAGAAAATAAAAGAAAAAAACCCCAATATTGTCGGACTTTCTGGACTGAAAAGGAGCAGCTTAGCATATCAAGGCATCATTTCAGCGACCAGGCTACTAAACCTGGAAGGAATCCCCAACTTTTGACAAAACAACTTCCATAGATATTCAGTTATGCTATGATCTGTATTCTATCTTCTTTTTTTTTTTATTTTTAAATGTGAAATATGATCCAATAGTAGAACCTGCTAGCTACTTCCTTGAGTTCCTTCCCACCATGAAGGCACTAAGCCTCCAGGAGCCCTTTTTCCAGTACTGACAGTATGCACGCTTCAAGCATTTCAGTTGAGAAAAAAAATATTCCACATGAGGTTTTCTTCTTATTGCATGTTCCTTCTAATATCTTACGAAGTAGGCACTGCAGATATTTATACAGCTCTTGTAGAGTCTTATGCAACAGAATTTCTAATATAAATTCATTAATTGACAAAGGAGTTCATAAAACTGGAACATTCATCTAAATCCATTTTCAACCTCAAGTCTCTTGAAGACAAATTTCACCATCTACAGCCCACATGGACAAAATTGGAAGACGACACCGAAAACTTGAGTTCTAAAAAACCAGCAATTTGTGCCACTATCAATATCAATTTTGCTCCATAGCACAGAAAAGGGAACACTTTGGGTCCAGGATTTACTGCAGAAGTACAACTAAGTATTATTTGCTTAAAAGTGTAACCATGAACTGGGAAGGAATACCCATAAAATCACCGTTCAAAAAGAAATTAAAAGCCTACCAAGGGTCAAACATCAATATCTAGTAATACCTCGTCTCCATCTCTAATAATATAAGTACACAGGTTTCTGAAGTCACCTCATCAATACACGTTCTCACCAATACACGTTCTCACCGTGCCCAATAACTCAATTATTATCACCAATTAGCATTTTACGTTAACAAATAAACTTCAGCAACTTAAACAAGAACATCCGACAAACTAACCAACATTAAAAAGGAAAATTACATGCCAAGCACGAATCACGAGCAACAACAGTCCCATTATAAGCAAAACAAAGGTAACGAAAAAAGTTTCATACCTAGCCCTAATAGCTCTCATGCTAGTAGGCTCATATCCAGTGTAACTTTGCGTACTGTACTCGAAATCAGAATCCGGACCCCCAGGGCAATACACGCAGATATTACCCGTTGTGGCAATATGTGGACAGCGGTGAGGCTTAGACATAACGGCGACCACCGCAATCCCAGACGCCGTCCGAACGGGCTTTGCCCGGAGTTTGGGCAGTAGGGCTTCTTTCTCGGATTCGGGCAGTGCCGCTATCATCTCAACGAGTTTCGGCGCCTTCGAGAGGCCGTACTTCCGGCACGCGGCGGACTTGACAGCATTTAGGTCTACGTCCTGACCCTTACGCGAGAGATCAACCATGGTGGAGACAATTTCTGCGATGGCTTTCACCCGGGCTTCTTCTTCCGACAGTCCATGTGAGATGACTCCGCCCCTACCTGGGCGAGGCAGCTTCCGGGTTTCGGGCATGGCCGCCGCCACCGCCGTCATGATTTGAGATACCTAAACTCCCCTTCTTGGGTAGTACAAAGTGCTACTTGGGCAATTCGGAAAATGCGAACTGTCAAGATCGATAACAATTGAATATGTTTATTGTTTTTTAACTAGTGAGAGGGTGGAGGTAGGGCTAGTCTCGGGCGTGCTTGTGTGAGGGTTGATTGTTGTGGAGAGGCTTATGGGATTAGGGTGTCGGATCTTGTCAGACCTTATGTAGTTTCAGGTTCGGTGTTTTGTCCTGGTCTTCTGTCGTGCGGGTGGTCTCTCTCGGTGTTTTGTGGTGGGGTGGATATGGAGTTGCTAGTCTGTCGGGAGGAGTACTTTCTTTTAGTTTGTTTTTTGTGTCTTTTGTTGTTTTTTGTCAGACCTGTCTTTTGGTGCTAAATGTGTTGGACAATTGACCCCGGGTGGCCTCGATCTATTCTTGATTGTCATTCAGGTTGGAAGTTTGAATATGTAGTTTGTGTGGTTTATGAATATCAAAACAGACATCTTAAGGAGAATGAAGAAAACGAAACAAAAATCAAAGTCGATGCACGTAATAATTACGTTCTCCTTAAGACGAAATTGACCCGTAAAATACTTACGGTTAACAGCAAACGCCTCCAAAATACAATGACTTTCGACTTGTATATAGCGTACTTCAATATACAAGCCTTCGGCGAACAATCTAAACTAAAAAAATTAAAGAACACAATATGCTATATGATCTTTAAAAAATAATGCAAAAGCTCTTCACTTTTCAATTTTTGAATGGTTTCATGTATGTGAGTATTTATAGATATAGAAAAACACCTCCAAGAGGTTTAAGTGTCAAAAGACACCTTTCGGGACGTACCCGAACGAGAACGGACGCATCTAGAGGCCAAAAGACACCTTATAGTCATCAATGGTCGTGACCTTTCGGTGTCCGTAGCCAGCTGCGCGCCCGTGCTCCGCGGGATCGTCAAGCTCATACGGAATCAGAATCGAGTTTCGTTATTTCCTACTTGTCACCAACGAACCCCTCTAGAGTTATAGCATGCAAATTGCATGATAAGGTCTCATTTTGATTATCCTAACATTCGTCAAAGACAGAATATTTTACAAATCCAATAATTTGAGTTACTTAAACTCATTACTTCAACCCTACATTTCCCACATAAACAAATTAGATATAATTTCTCATTCAACTTA